ATTTGAACTCTCAAATCAGATTGCATAAAAAATGAAAGAAAGTACAGTGAAGGTATACCTTTCCTTTCCCATCGAGATGATAAGTGTCATTGTTAGGAATTAAGCAGTAAAATGTACTCAGAAAGTTAGATGATTATATTTAAGTTCTAAACAATAATGTATAGAAAAAAAGTGATTTAAATCTTAGCAAGTCTTTAATATAACAAGAGGTAACTCAAGTTAGCTAGTCCCTTTTGCTATGTACTTTTATAATCAATTATTGCATTAGTGATGATTATCATCATATTCAGTCACTGATGCAAATAAATTTTCAATAGTTGATTGTGCTTAAATAAACATCGATATTGTAGCAGCATAAAAAAAACCAGAAGGCACTAGAAAAAAAAAGGAAAATCTAGTTTAAAAATGACAAACACAAGAAGCACTAGAAGAGTAATTCTCCTTTACAATTGAAACTAAGATATCTGGAGTTCAAGTGACAATTTTTTTCTAGTTTCACAACAAGATCTCAATTTTAAATTGGGACAATTTATGCTAACAACAACTTCTAAATGTCTTAGATGAGCTTACAGTGAACTGATCAGGACGGCTTTTCATTGATGCAAGAAAGTGTAACCTCATTGCCGCAACAATTTCATACTCCTTATGCAACACATAACATGACCAAAAGGTAAAGACATATGCCATAACGACATGGGCCAAAAACCTGTGATGAAATTAAGCACATTTTACATAAGTATAAAACATCATTATTCGACCAAATATAAGAAAATAAACAGGGAGGAAAAGTGATTGCTTTGACCAGTGGAAACACATCAAAGAGTAATAGATTGGAGATAGAATAGAGGGGTTGTATTTACAATAGAAAGTGCAAAAATGAAATTACAGAATTCAATTCCAAACATTTGATGTGAAATTTGACAAAGCCCTGAAGCCATTAAGGTATGCAAATTGCAAAATCTGGACAACAAACTTCTCCATATCCTTTGTCACACAAAGTGAGTAGTACTTGGATCTTTGGGTGAAATAGTGTCCTCAATGTCACATAAGCTAGCATAAGTTTGAATAAGTCCCATGCCTCAACCATCACCATACTATCAAAACTTTAATCTAATAACAACAAACTTTTCTTGACAATTTTTTTTCATGACAGTGCTGTGTGTTGGCATGTTAATCATTCTCCGAGTCTGGTACACTTATTCCTAAATCTGATGCCTTGGTTGGTTTGCCGCACCTTGCTCAGCAAATGCATGAAAAAATGATGACATATTCCGCTACCAAACAAGTTCAATATAAATCAAATAATTTAAAAATCCACAAAATAGTACAAAAATAGAATTTAACTAGCAACTTGCTCAATGATCAACTTCTAATTACTTACCTCTGTGATCCTGTAGGAACATTTGATATGGAGAGATCATCTATATCACTGTACACTTTGTTTGAATTTTTCAGAGTGCTATTTGTCCAGTTGACAGGTACAAGAACAGAGAATGCCAGGATAGTGATGGGAATGAAAATTTTAAGTCTGTAAAAAAGAAAAAAGAAACACAGATATGCACCACAATGAAATGACACAAAGCAACTATTAGAATATACCAAAGTTTTAAAATTTAAAAGAGCAATAATTGTTCAGTTTGTATCCACTAATATCATAGTAGTATAAAAAACTGGTGTCATCTTTTAATCAAGTAAAAAAAAAAATCATCTATAGTAAGGATAATTTGTGAATCAAGAGCAACCCATAACAAGCGAAAGAAAAATAGGATAATAAATAAGTAGTGGAAATGCTTCAGGTGGAAGCAAGCAAACATTAACTGGACAGACAAAAGATATGAACCCAATCTAAAATATTGCCACCTTGGACCATTGGTCATATCCTCAATGGACAAACAAATAATAAAATGGAGCAATATTGCAATTGTAAACCACCTTAATAGTCCCATTTCCATTACTTGGATTTCTATGATGGAAAGCTATAAATGGTTGAAGACGGTTCAAGGTTCCAAGGTCTAAAAGCATAGGCATGAGATACAAAATGAGGGGCACGCAGTGGTAATTACAAGAAGCTTACATGTCCAGAGAAGTAAAAAAGCCATTCAGACAGAAAATAGAATTGACATATACCTACTATTCACTAATATTTGGTTACTGGACGTTAAGTTGTGGTACCATTTTAATTTATTTTTTTATTGATAAATTTGATTAGTCTATGAGCATTTTGCAAATGTCCTAAGTTGTCACTTGACAGTGTCTCCAGTATTTGTAGTTTAGTTTCTTACTCAAATAAGAAGAAGAAAGCAAATAAAAAATTAAAAAAACCAAAAATTAAATTTGGTTGAATCTCACAATTATTGATTAAAGATTTCATCTCAACATGAAAGTCCCACCATTCTACAAAAATTAAAATCTATCGATTAGATATTTAATTAAAATGAAATATTATTCTCTAAATCAAAATATGAGAATCTATCTCCTTTAAAGAAGAAAAGAGTAAATTACTTTATGCTACCACATAATAGAAAAAATAGAATTTCCTAGATGGTATGGCAATACACCTTATAAGAACATGCTAAATGAGAAAGTAATTGATGAAAAAACTTCCAAAACATAAATAGAATACCCGATTAGATATATCCGCAAGAAAACAGCTGAATCAAGTCCTGCATGATCTATCAATTCTAGTTCAGGCATTTTAAGTGCAGCTGGCATCCATTCCAGAAATCTCAAGTATGACCTCAGATTTAAATTGACGAACTTATGAACAAATGTTCCTGAGTGGTTTGGGCTGCTTCTTGCACCTTTAAGATACCACTTGGAAAAGTAAACCCTGTCATTTATTGGTTGCAGTCTTAATACAGCAAATGCCACAAGGAACACTAAGGCACTTAGTAAGTTAATGGCTGCTGCGAGTCCAATGTCAGTGATTGTAGCCATGACAACCTCCTATATAGACCAAATTCCCTGTGGACACATATAATTTAGATTTGTCAAAGAAGAAAATGCATAACTCTAGAGAAAGATAAAAAACAATAGAAAGCACTTCATTTGCAGAATAAACAAGTCAAAAGATCAAAGGAATCAACCATGAAGTATTATATATTATCCTACATACAGAACAAAATATTTTTTTACGAAATATCAAACATGATAGCTGAATTTCCAATTATGACGAATTAGTACTTGCGATCGAACATTCCCTAGCAACTACTTATCCAAAAACACCAGGACAACTGGTAACATTCTGTCTAGAGCTATTATGCCCTTGTGCTGAACTTGGACTTTGCAAATCCACTAAAAGTCTAAGAGATCACACGGAGAACATGAGGATCCACTTGGTTAGGCCTCCTTGTTGGACTTTAAGAATAGCCTTATGACTAACAACATTTGGTTTCACATAAATTTTCATGTTTGATAACTTTTAAATACTACATGCATACTTTGCCACAACGGTTCAGTCAGAATAGTAATGGTTCATTCGAGTGAGGTTTCTTGTCTTGTCTATTTTCATCAGTTCCTATTTGTTTACTCCAGCTTAACAATTTAAACAAAATGTTTCTACAACAAACAAGAATAACAAAGTAATCTCGAAAAGGATATCAAAAGAAGAGAAAAAAAATTGCAAATAAGAGAAGAACAATGATGACATTTAAGATTATTTTTTGGTGTTCAGGACATGTGAGTCCATCAATATATAGTGTGTTCTCAATGAAAGCTTGCAATGATTCGAGAAATTCTGCGTTCTTTCTTTAGAATCAAAAGTTAAACATTATTCAAAATGAAATCAATAATTTAAGTGTCTCATAACAATTCGACAAAAGAAACCTAAATGGTCATTTGATACTGAGCAAGGCAGACAAATACTCCCATAACACTGTTTCTGTTGTTTCTTCTCAGACAAGTGTAGCATAACTTTTCGTAACTTTCTAGTTGAATAGTATGCTGTCTAGGATTATGCAAAAATTGTAGAATGAAGATGACTAAGACTAACTGGGGATAGTTCACAAAGGTAAAAAAAATTTTATGTCCTTGTTAAAAGGCTCCACGTGCTATCACACATACCAAAGACGTGCTCTCTGTGACAAAAATAACAATAATAAGTAACCCATCCAAAGAGATTTCTCAGAGAAACCTTCTGATCAGCATTGGATCCCCAAATCAATTATGCCCAAGGAACCAATGTCAAACAAAAATGTTCAATATAATCGGGCATTAAATTCTTCGTTTCTATCGAATTTATTTGCCCTAGCACAGCTAAAAGGGATTCACTCGACAAATTCCTCCCTGAAGTATAGAAGATCACTGACTGCATCAATTTGCATGTCCTTGTCTGTCTGTTTCAGCTGGTTCCCAGCTGGTCATGTCGCGAAGCCATTAGTAAATAGTCAGATACCTGAACCATTTCCGACAAACTAGGCGAGGCTACATTCATCTTATAACTCGATAGTATAAAGTGTTCATTCTTCATCGAAGAACACCACATTCAGAACAGATTCAGCTCCAAGATATTTTCGACCAATACAATCATTCTGCACGAAGAAGTGGCCGCACGGTCTGCTCCCGAACACTTTCACATAAAACATAGATTTGGTTGCTCCGGATGGTGTCGTTAATACAAAGGAAAAAAGAAAAACAAAGCGCAAACAAGAACGCAAGAAACCAACAATGCGCACCTAGGGATCAACGACACACGAAAGACTCCATCATCAGCTTCCGATCCCACCGCACCCTGGCCTTCTCCGAAGGCAAATCTTTCGAGCAACGAGAACAAAGGCGGACGAGAAAGAAAGGGTTCCGAGCAACGTGATGCGTGGGGAAGTCGAAATGGTCAGCGTTTGGGGAGGTGGAACGCTTCGGGAAGCCGCAGAGAGCGGGAGAGCAGTGTTTGGTAAGAACAAGAACGAACACTCCTTGGTTAATAACGCCGTCGACGTGCGGAAACGACGATTACTGCCTCGGGAATCGTCAAGTCGCCGTTATTATAAGCAACGAGACTTCACGCGCACTCTATTGATCGTTGATGCGCGCCTCACCACAAGGGAACGGTGAGAACTTGTGAGATTGACGGTCAGGATCACTTGGGTAGCCTTCTGTGTCTCTTTCGGGTAGCATTTCATTTTGATGCGGTCAAATCAAAAAGCTTTGACTTTAACAGCAGCAATATATAATTTTGGGCCCATAATTAATTGTAATTTCACATAATTCATCAGAAAATTGAATTTATTTATTATTTTTATCGTTTTTTAAGAGCCGGCCGTTGATGATATCCTTTTAAAACTAATAAAATTTACATTCTTTTTTTAGGAGTTCTATTTTTTATAGTGACAAATATAATGCTTGCAACTTCAGATGAAATATTTTCATATTCTGGAATGTACATGTAAAATCATAATATTTATTAGGTATTTATACGTGTGGTTAATGTCATTATATTTGCCATGAATGAAGATATTTTTATTAGTATAGAAATGTTAAAATTTATAATTTTTAATTAAAAATATTATATTATATAAAATTTAATGACAAAAAAAATTCTAAAAGTTATATTTTAGAATGTCGAACCCCTTAAATTATAGTTTCCTTTGTCGTATTTTGTGGAATTCTAAAGGGTTCCACTACTTGGCCCTCAAAACCATCACCATCCTTATTTAATTGTGTGTTGATTGTCATGCATGTCCATGGCTATTAGGATACAGCTTGCTCAACTTTGTTCCTCGTGATGCAACGTATTTTATCATTCTCATTATTTAATCTCAACCCTCTTGATATTATATGAACATTTATAGAGTGGAATGATGTTTTCTTTATATTAAGAAACAAATAAAGACATCGATGATAATGTAGTTATCGATGACTCTTGGTGAGCTTGATTAGATCCAAGATCTATCAAATGGAATGTTTGAGTCATCTCTTCAACACTTAGGTTAGAATCAAAATAAAAAATAGAGTTAAACCTACAAAATTATTTTATGATATAAGTATAATTTTTTAAAAAAATAGTTATTACGATTTAGATAACTATCATATTACATATTATCTCTTATAATTAAATATTTTTAACATCTTAGTCCCTATACTTTCAATAATCTTTTTGGAATCTCTATACTCATAAAAATAAAATAGTTTATCTTATTTCTCCTCACATTATTAATTCTACTAACGAAAATACCAAGGTTTATTACTAAACATGTACTGACTCTGCCTCATTTCGATTTATCACTTATCATGTGTGATATTTTTGTCAGCAGAATCGAAAACATGATGATAAATAAGATTAAATATTTTTTTTTATAAAAATAAAAATCTTAATATAATTTTTGAAATAGTATAAAAATCATAAAAGGTAACTAATTAGCCCTATCCTATCACATTTATTCAAGTTGATAATCACGTTGTGAGCTACGAATGGCCGGATGGAGTTCACGGAGAAGTTGTGCTTGGAATAGGATTTCAGACAATTTTTAATTCAGAATGAGCTAACCTCGAATCAGGTGGTCAAACAAAAAAACTACATGATGTGGTCTTCACTTTGGATTTAGAGTCCCTTGTTTGTCATTATTGCCCACTGTTTTTTACTCTCTTTGTGATCATCGAGTTCGACTGTAATCACTCTGGCGATTATTATGTCGGAGGCAGATATGAAGAATAACAATCACAGAGATATCTACCAAATTAGTCTTTTTGTGATGTCCTATTTTGTACTTTAATTGAATAATTATATTCATTGAAAGTTTTTATTATTATATTTGAATAAATTTTTTTTTGGAATTATGTTAGATGTCGCACAAAAAAAAAAAAGTGTCGTGCCTCAATCCGAATTAACTCATTTACACGTATAATAAATAATATAATTAATCATTTGTATTGATCCTACTATTTTGTATCAGTAGTCAAGAAATTCTTGCTGACTAAATTAATTAGCATAATTTAATCGAGTTGATTAATGTCTGACGAGTTAACACAGTATATAGTTTAAGGAAATTACAAATTTTAAATTAAAAAAATTATCAGATAATTTAAAAGATGTTAACTAACTTAGCTGGAGAACAACTTGACCGTTTATTTTAAAGTCTTAATCTATAATTCGATATTTGTGTATTTATTTTTTATTAAAATAAATTAAATAAAAAATATATAATACTATGTTATAAATAAATAAAAAAAGTATACAAGGATGGTTTGGAGCACCGCCTCACCAACCCATTCAAGAGTGGCACACGCGTCCCACGCAAATATGCATTCTTCTAACCACCAATATCTATAAGAATACTGGGAACGATTTCCTTTCGATTGCCTATTTGTAACGCGCATCATCGTCCGTCCAAAAGGAACTCGATGATGTCGCATAATTGTACCGACACATTATATCACTGATGCGTCGGATGGGACCCATCTCCATCAAATGCCATCACCAATCAGAGCTACTTTTACGTGGGGCCCATCTCTATTGAATGAGCGGATACTCGACGAGGAGAGAGAAAGCGGATTCGATTCGGTATTGGATCTCGGGTCCAAACCCATTAAGAAAATTCCCATCGACATATATCACTCGATATCTGTATAATAAGTAATATTTGTTTCTATTGATTTATTTAAATAAACCACACAGCCGGACACATCATTCAAGTCCTCTACCGTGGGCTAATGATCAAATTTGACCTCTTTAACCGGTATATTATCAAGATTTAAACCTTTATGGATCAAATATAAATCTGTATTCATTCAATTAGCTAAACCTAATGGGAATTTTGAAGGTCTCGTGACTACCTCTGTCTAATTGAGGTTAATGCTTTTAGTACATGAGACTCTCGGTAATACAGGAGGATTAATTTACATTTTCCCTTTTATAAACACAGAAAAATGATATCCATGACATGAATTATGATTATATAAGTCATGAAGGAACAATCAATCACCTTCTGAGAATAAGAAGAACAATAGACTGGACTACAAATTTCACAAAATCTAATATTGTATTCGATTAACTATTAAGGTGTCCGAATTTAAATATGACCATAATACTTATTTTTTTATCTTAATCTATCGGGAAGCAATGATTCGATCTTGATTAAGCAAATGGAGTAAATCTAAATATCAAAAAATGAAGCTGAGATTTTAGATATACTATCATAAAATAAATGTTTTAGCCGTGTGTTATGTTTGCATGTTAATTTAGATAAAATATAAGTCATAAAATACCTCAAATGCTTTTGATATTTTTATTATCATAGAAATTATTATCATAAAATACCTCAACTATATTTGAAGTTATATATATATATATACACACATAAAACCAAAAAATAATTAAGAAAAATACATGAATCACCGACTTCGGAGGGGTATGTATGCAATTTTGCCTTGCATTTTGCTTTATGTGAATAGCGAAACGTCAGCTACGGAAGGCCACTTTCTTATTGGTAGATTAATTTTGTGGGCCCACAAGATACGATATGCGATGCCGCTGTTTTGTCGACCGTGAACTGGTTAGTACAGGCGATCCCATAAGCCCAAGCTTTCTGCACGGTTCGTGCACTGTGTTTGGTGCCTTCCGACGCGAGCCAAGCGCCGGTTTCCTATCTCTCTCTTCATCACTTTATCTTCCTCCACCGAAAGACCTTTGGTGCTTCTCTACGCCCTCCTTTCCCTTTCCCCCCATTACTATGTAGATCCCCTCCGAATCGAATCCGTCGTTTCTCGGATCGTGTCGTTAGAGAGAAGGCGAGGCCGCGAAGCGAACAGGTTGCGTGCAAGCAAAGGAGGGGAGCCATGGTTGTGCTACGGCGGGTGGGGAAGTACGAGGTGGGGCGGACGATCGGAGAGGGCACCTTCGCCAAGGTCAAGTTCGCGCAGAACACGGAGACCGGCGAGAGCGTCGCCATGAAGGTGCTTGACCGTGCCACCATCATCAAGCACAACATGGTCGACCAGGTCTCTCCCTCCTCTTCGGTTGTTCTCTTACGAGGAGAAAAGATGATGGATCTTTGGAATCGATCTGCTCTATCGTAATCGCCTAAGGTGCTTTCTTTTCACTGTTCCGTGCAGATTAAGAGGGAGATTTCTATAATGAAGCTGGTGAGGCATCCTTATGTCGTTCGCCTCCACGAGGTATGACTTCGATTTCTCGATCAATTTCTTACATATGTTTCGTCCCTATCTCTGTTTTCTGCAATTTTCTTTTCGTACCTCCTGAAAAGTGACCATGATTCTGTCGCATGTAGGTGTTGGCAAGCCGGACCAAGATATATATAATCCTTGAATTTATTACCGGCGGCGAATTGTTTGATAAGATTGTAAGGCCTCAAAGTTGCAAACTGCTTTACGAAGTTCTACTAATTCCGAAATCTATACACCAGTTTCTGCTGTAGCTTTTGAGCTTCCATTTTACTTTGAATGAATATTTAATTTGTAGACTTTTTTTTGCTTGCACAATTTATTATACAGTGATATTTTATCTATGTCAACCCTATATAATTGGGACTTAATATCTTGCACTATTTTTTTTTTTGTTTTGTATGATTCAGTTGATTTTTACTTAGTATGCATACACTATTCTTTTGGTGACAAGTCAGATATCTGCAGATTCATCATGGAAAACTTAGTGAAGCTGAGTCACGTAGATATTTCCAGCAACTTATTGATGGGGTGCAGTATTGCCACAGCAAGGGCGTCTATCATCGAGATTTGAAGGTGTTAAACTGCTGGATTTACAGAAGAATGTTGTGAAAGTTCTCTTGCATGAAATTCTTAAAGTTGCCTAATTTCATATGCAGCCTGAAAACCTCCTCCTAGATTCGCAAGGAAATCTTAAAATTTCAGATTTTGGTCTCAGTGCCATGCCTGTGCAGGTACGTTCTTTTGAGATTCCTTCTCGGAAGTGATTACCAAATTAAATTTCTTATGCCTTTTTTCTTAATCTCTGTTCAGGGAGTTAGCCTTCTCCGCACTACTTGTGGAACTCCTAATTATGTTGCCCCAGAGGTATGATTGTGAATATTTGTCTTAGCCATCTTTAAATTAGGTTTAGTTGGCATTCCTTGATTATATCCAGTCAGTTACCTTTAAGTTAGGTTATTTTTATTAATTCGGGTTACATGGAGCTAGCAGTTACTTGTATCTAACCTACTTGTTATTTCATGAAGTGATATTGTACAAGATATGATATAGCTAATAGCAATGTGCCATGTTTTATTTGATAACCTTGATGTTGGATTAATCTAAGGTTTAAATATATTCATTGTTGGACTGGTAGCTTATATACAAAAGCAGAAGATGTTAAAATCCATGGAACATGGAACTTTAAATTTGAGCAAGAGAAAGCATTATCAAGAAATAAAAAATTATTTAGGATGAAAAACAGGTAAAAGAGTGTAATAAAATTATCATTCAGATTACCAGATTATTAGTGAATTTGGACTAATTTTATGCATCGAGGAAAAAGCAGAAACAAACTTGAATTTATAAATTTCATCAGCCATGGAAATCTTTAGATATCAACTGATGTGGCATGAAGGGAAAACATCCTGTCTATATAAACATATTTGACCTTGGTTGGATATTTCGTAGGCTCTCTGAATCTCCCAACTCTCTGCTGGGAAAGGCAAATGTCCTTCACTTTAAATTGTTTAATTCTCTATGATATATACAAGATATTTCACCTGCTCGACATGTAAGGAAGATAATCCTGCAATCTTGTTTGCAGCCTGACCTAAAATGGGTTGCAGGTAATCTTATACGCACGAGGAGCAGCTCGGCAGTTTATTCTGACTGCAAAATGTTAGGGCTTGATGTTCAGCAGGAACTGAGTCAACTGACAGAAATGCTAATACTCCTTACAGAATATGGTATCTATTAGTTGGGTTGTACTACAGAGACAATCCTCTAGAATTTCTATGCTATTGCCATGGAAGATGATAATCAAGCGAACCTGCTAATCTTATGTGTCCAACTATCAATAATCACATTTAAGTGGGTTAGGTCAAGTAATTCTGTGCATGTATGAAGCGGCCTATAATCTATCTATTCCCTGGACAACTAGCCGATGTCCCAGGTAACAGAAACATAGAGGAAGGAGTGGAACATAATGAGAGAAAAGCATTTTAAAGAAAACACTGATTTATTAGAGGAAATGAAGGCATTCACATGATGATGAGATATGTGTCTTCAAGAGTTTGTCCTTGTGAAGCAAGGCAATTGGTTCATCAGACCATGCATGTTGGAGGGATAGTATGATAAACTTATATGCCTGCCCTCTATCGATCCTTCATCATTGACATCCTACAAAATTAAGCTGGTAAAAGGGCATTATGTGCCCTGTGGTCACAGTCAAATATATATACAATTGTTATCTTGAGGACTACTTCAGTAATGGATTGATGCCACAGGAATGGGCTTGGTTTGACTTGTTTATGTACTTGCTCCAAAGCTGGTGATGACATTAATCTGCCTTGGTGATTCCCTAGGTGTCAGCTTGTTTGCACAACATTAGCTTCTGTCCACTGTATGACCATCTAGGATCCCAAGAGTGCCTAGGTGATCACCTAAGCGCCCAGACTTTTATTTGCATACCTTGTTGTATCAATAGCAAAAGTTAAAAAAATTATATTTGCTATGTTCCAAAATATTAAAATTAGATCAAAGAATTTGTTTATTGATGACTTTGATGGATTATTGGATGTTCCAACAACATCCACTGATCCATGAATGATACCTTGAAAACTTATTGAAAGTTATGACTTAATAAACTTAAAAAGTCTACAGATGCTGTCATTCCATGTTATTTTGGGTTTCTCATGGCTTCCTGTTTGTTCTTTTCAATTGCAACTCATAAACGATGATTCCACTTTTGGCATAATTTGTGTCAATATACCATTCATATTATAGCTGTTCCCAATAACCTTCTCAACCTCAATTTTTTTAGAATTTTACATGTTTTCATTGATATATCTGGTATTTTTTTTAATTACATGTTCATGACTTCTTTTTGATCTCTTGCTAGTTATGTAGCACTGATGTCTAATAATTCCATGAATGAACATTGTGCATCAGGTACTCAGTCATAAGGGCTATAATGGTGCCATTGCTGATATCTGGTCATGTGGGGTCATTCTTTATGTTTTATTGGCAGGATATCTTCCATTTGATGAAGTTGATTTGACTACTCTTTATAGCAAGGTATGCAAGTTTTCTTTAGCTATTTTTACATACAGCGTGGTTTGATTTGTTTAGGAAACCTTCTTGTTGGGTTCTTAATTGATTAAGTTCTATAATTCCTTCGTTTTAGAGGAGGTCTAGAATCATGTACTTTAGTTTTAAATTATTTGTTCTTGTTTGGATGCTTATTTGTAACTTATTCCATAGCATGATGTTCACATCTTTGAAGTGAAAAAAAAAAAAATCTAATAAGTGGCTTGAACTTTGCTTCGTTTTCCTTTTTTGTTTTCTTTGTTTTACAATTGTGACCTTGTTCCCTGAATTTAATCTTACGTGATTTCATGTACTATACACACGCAGTCGTCATCTTAGGAACCTTGTCTTCTTGTGTTTTCCGATGTTTCACTGGCTTGTATGTGAGGAGTCTGATTTCTGGACTGATTTTTGACATTGATGTTAACAGTGACAATCTTATTATGTGACTCACATATTTGGAGTATGCAAAGCATTACATACTGTCAGTGCAATTTTTATTTATTCTATATAGTCTTTTGGGCCAATTTGTGCTGTCTGTGTCATGCTATTTGTGAGCAATATATTCCTGGCATACCAAGTGGGTATGCTTAAACCAGGTGTGTCATGTTCTGTATCTCAGCAATTCTTGTTCTGTTTTTTTAAAAATAAAGGAATATGAAAACTAGTGTAAGGTTGAAAAGTTATATGAACTAAAGTAATTTACCTTGACAAGCAGTGCCTTCAATATGATTTTCAAAAGCCATGTGAATGCGGTTGCAACTCTGGGTCTGATCATGCCTTGTGGTGAACTTTCACAACCAGCATCATCTTTGAGCAAAAATAGCATTATAATATTAATAGTACACTGAAATCTGTGGGTTGCTTTAACACATATTTGATATATTGATACGCCAAGCCTGTATGTCAGAAAATCGCAACAAAATATGACACAAACATGACTGGCCAAATGACGCGGCATTTTTTTTTTTGTATAATGCTTTTAACACGAGTTACTTCCTTCATATTCTTTCTAGTTGATCTATTGATCACCTAACGCATATGTACTTGGTTTGTTCAACAATTAGTGTTCCGAGCTATGCTACTGAATGTTTAGAATTTTGTTAAAATATGGCAACTGTGATGCAAACATAGTTTAACAGATGACAACTTAGAAAGAAGGGATCAAATATCATGTGCCAGCCTGCCAGGTATCAACAGGCATGGTAGAATACCATGTGTGATCCATGTATTGTGCCTGTTTTCGACAGGCTAGGTTATATGTAATATAGCAAAACTGATGCATGCAGGAGCATGTTGTGCATTGATCTGGTTTGGTAAGCACCAATACGTACTCACATATCAGCATGCACAACAAGCACTCCAGCATTCTTTACACATTTTACCTTGCTTGTTCTTTCATTGGCATGATTGGGATATTTTTCCTAAAGTAATAAAACTTCAGTTCATGGCTTCATGCCCATCTACAAATTTGGTGAAATTATGAAAGAATTGATAGTGGAATAGTTTATCTTTATAATTTTTTATTAAGAAGCGAGAAGAGAGATGACTAAGCGTCTATCCTAATTTTGCTACATGAACCATTTATATGCTGTTAGATCGTGCAAATTGCAAAGTATCTAATGTCTCTCAACCTTTTTTAGATATGCAGAAAATGTGCTATTACTCTATATTCTACAGTTTTGGGCCTTCTTTCTTCTTGTGCTGTTTAGTAGGATATCGTTAAAACTTAACAAACATGAAAAGTCTTGCACTTCTAATTGTATGCCTATTTTTTATGACATTATCATATAACTTCTGCAAAACTTAGATAATTGTATATAGTTGTACTTGTATCTAAACATGATGTTCTGCTTAGTTATTACCTGATTTTTAATGTCAGTTTCTTCTAAAGTTAAATATATGTCAGGTATTCTATGTGGTTTATTGTTCTAAACTTTTATTTGCTCTTGTTTTAAAAACTACATACAGATTGAGAAAGCAGAATTTTCTTGTCCTTCGTGGTTTTCCATCGGTGCAAAATCCCTACTATGTAAAATTCTGGATCCTAACCCTGAGACTGTAAGTAGTTGTTTCCTCTTACTTTGTTTGCGAGTATTCATTTAGACCAGCAGACCAATGACCACATACCTTTTATTTTCTGTAGAGATCTTTTACCTGTTATGGGATGGATACTACTGGTTACACATGTTTGAGAGGAGTTTGTTATTTGTATATTTGTCTGTGGCTCAGTTGTATATTTGTTTTTTATAGGATAGATACTGCAGGTTACACCTGTAATGGCATCTGTTATTTGGCATAGATACTGCAGGTTACATGTGCTAAGGAGACCGGTCGATGTGGTAGTTAAAAAAAGATTGAGGCAATTAATATTAATAGTGTGGAAAGTAGTCGGGGGAGTCCTAAAAAGACCTTAGAAAATACAAATAAATATTTATGTTCTTAGTTTAACGAAGGATATTGCTTTGTATATAGCTCAATGGCAGCTAAAGATCCATGTGGCTGCAACTTCTTGTTGTTGTAGCATAGTTTGGTTAAGTATCTGATAAGCAACATGACTTGTTTTGACAATCATTGGAAAAATATGGAAGTATCTATTACTATTAAAATAAATATAATAAAACTAAATTAAGGGCATAATTGGCATTGTTTTGATTTCGCTCTTTAAAAAACATGTTCATTTTTGTATTTGTTTATGCTTTGTTTTCCAAAAGTATGTTTGTTAGTCAACACTTAACGGTCACTATGAGTACAAACCTGAATAGGCCCTGAGGTGAAACGCAAGGTTTGCCTGCGCTAGTCATATCAAGATGTACCAATTGGTGTGTACCATACTAATAGGCAAGGTTTTTAATTTCGAATAATACCGCTCGTACCGAGCGGTATGTACTGGTTTGTCAACAGATCGGTACACGGACTATCCGCTACTGGGCTGTAGCATTGATCGATGACGAAAAAGAAAGTGGTCGGTGATGGAGAAGAAAGAAGAAAACATGGAGATCCGGTGCGGCGACGAAGCCTCGACGACGTCGCAAGAGAAGCGATTTCTTCTCCCCAACATAAGAAACCGAGCGAGGCGATGCCTCTTTTGTTTTTGCGTAGGGAAACCGGGCGAGTCACCTCGGCGACGTCGCCTTTCCTTTTTTTTTTTGTGGGGAAACCGAGGCGACGTTGTGGAGGCGACATCGCCTCTCTTTATTTTTGCGCGGTGAAACCGAGCGATGTCGCTTCGACGACGTCGTCTTTCTCTGTGTTTTTTGCGCGGGGAAACCGAGGCGACATCGCCTTTCCCTTTGCGCACGGAAACCAAGTGCTCCTGTCGTCGTCGTCGTTATATATATATATATATATATATATATACCGAGCAATATACCGAAATGTACCGCTCGATATACTTATATCGTACCATACCGAACTGACATCGAAACTCCGGTACGGTATGAAATTACAAATCTTGCTGATAGGATGTCAGCAGATCATCTCATTTTGTGCCAAGGTATGTGTGTCTTAGTTTGTGCCTCTTGACATTTGGTGGGATGAACAATTTGTCCAATTTGGGGAATGGCTGAGCAATTCGTTAGATCCTGAAGAATACATGAATAGTTTACTAATCCTATGAATACGAGAAATTGAGAGACTAATCCTCTCTTCAAAAATTAGAAGTTCAAAAAATATTATTAGAATTTTATGAACTTCACAGATTTTGCATGTTTCATTCAAGAATGTAAAACAATATATGAATATAAACACATTTAGCAAATGTGCTTCGAAAATTGGTTTCTAAGCTTTTACTTATGGAAACAAGCACGGTAGACAAATAATACAGAAAATAATTTAATCATTCTTTTTAAAGCTTGAGGCTTGAGCCGTGGATCCAAATTATCAACCTTAAAAAAATGTTGGCTAACCTGGAGAAGCCTTTGTTGGCTAAAGCCTAACTGAGCTATTGATTATTGTTTGGGCATCAAAGAAATGCATTATGGGCCACCTGATAGGTCACCCTTCAGAATAATGTTTTGTCTTGTTGCTATTGTCTGGGAGGCCTCATACTGTTTAGAGATAAAACATTGTCTGGCGACAGAAGAACTAATATTTTGATCTGTGTTGTCTTTCCTAATTCCTTCTGGTGATCAAGTTCCCATCAGACTCTAGGGTGTAGTGCTTGGGTTTTATGTATTTGCATATTTCTGCCCAAGAAAATGAATGAAATGCCTCTAACTGCCAATGCTAGCTAAACTATGGATTATGAATTAGAAATGATAGCAACAATCACTTATTGGGTCATTGAGTTTTTAGACTTGCTAAGAATGACTGTCAAATATGGTACAAAGTCACCAACAACCTCGTCAGCTATATATATGTCATCATTTGCACCTTATCTTGCTCTGGGGTAAATATTCATAGAATGTTTCTTGAGACTGGGATATGTGAACATATTTTAATAAGATAGAATTAAGCATCTTTGTAAATGCTTGGATGTTCTAAAATGTTTGAGAGAGCTGCTTGACTTCATGAGGAGGGGAATCTTTCTTCTCTTTATTGTGCAACTTTGTGATGTGAACATTCAGTATTTTTTAAGTTGATAGCTATGTTGTTTTTCATGATTCAAACGGACAATTGTAGCTTATTCTTATCCATGTAACACTTAATTAATTACATTCTTCATACTTGTGCAGCGTATGAGAATAGAAGAGATCAGAAATGATGACTGGTTCAAGAAAAATTATGTGCCTGTTAGTGAGGTGGAAACTGAGGATATTAACCTCGATGATGTGTTTGCTGCTTTTGATGACCCTGAGGTATTTCCCAAGATGCTTGCCATGGTTTATTATGTTGCTTTCCTATTTGTTCCTTAGTTGCATTTCTTCTCATTGGTAAATAGCTCGATGTAATCCATGGCAATATTGTGCACATTTCTTATTAGAGATTTTGGGTCTATTAGCAGGCAAGTGAGCAATCTAGGAATGAGGAATTGGGTCCGCTGAATCTCAATGCATTTGATCTTATAATTCTCTCACAAGGACTGAATCTTTCAGCATTATTTGACCGAAGGCAGGTACGTGGCTTTATGCAGGTTCATTTGGCTATTACAAACACAAATACACAGATTTTTATTTCATTATTGTTTCCATCTTGCTTGATTTACTTTCTTCCAATGATCAGTAATCAACAATACAATTTGTGAAACTGATCCATGACTTTATTTACATCAACTATACCATATCATATGGCTCTGTTTTCTGTAATATTTCTATAATATTTAGTTTCTTATAATTAATTTCTGATCATGGATGCAATTTTAGATGATGTTCTTTTAGTGTAGTTAGTATTTTATGGACTTTGTAATTGGATAAAGAGATATATCTTCACATGATCAGATCATGCCAATGAGATGTAATTGGCCGGTCTAGACAACCAAAGTTTGTAAGATGAGTACCAGACCTTTTTTCTGAATGATCTTACTTAAGTATCTTAGATCGCCTGAGAAGCTGTTTATCTTGGTGTTAGGTTCATGTTATTTTAATTGTAAATAGGCCTACATATTAAAGTAGATTGCATTAATAATGTAGAAGCCCAGGTTAATTTGAGAACAAAATGCCCACTATTCTTTGTTCTTGCTATAGTCCTTGGACATGAATTTCATGTCGCAAGCGAAGTGCCAAACACATCGGGTTGTCTTACCTAACCAGTTGATATGAGAAAACCATACAAGGAGAGGAAATGAGTTAAAAAAAGGTAGATAAAAGAGATAGGAGGTATTCAGATGGTTCTTAGAGGATATTGACAAGCTTAGAGTTTCTTTGGGATCTGACTGACAACTTTTCACATCTTCTAATAGGTGTTATGTGCATGCTATAGAATATTAGGCTTTTTGCATTGTATCTCTGATTGCAGATATTCCAAGATGCTTGACTTCAAGGATAGATGCATATGATTGCAGATCTAGGGCTCTATTTATCAACTGTTTGCACTCGATTCCCTCTTCTGCTCCTGATATTCTCTGTTCTTAAATTAACAGTTATATCTGCAATTTGATTTCTTCATATATTTGTCATGTTCCTTGCAACTCAAAGGCCATTGTCCTTCTGTGCAATGTAGCAATTGATCATACATCATCATCTTTGAGTTCTTGATTTTCTTGCTGCTAACAATTGATGATACCATCTTTAAGAAACCATATACATAATGACATTTAGTTTTTCTCATAATAGCATTCCCCTATGCGACTTGAATTATGAATCTTTTTTGAAGGATTATACAAGACACGAAACCCGCTTCCTATCTTGCAAATCGGCTAGAGTTGTCTTGTCAAGCATGGAGGTTGTTGCACAATCAATGGGCTTTAAGACTCACATTCGTAATTATAAGGTGATATGTTACTGAGTCACTGATTTGGAATGGTTGCTGTTCTATGTGCATTAAACGACTTATTAATTTGATTTGCAGCTTTACCTGTGTTCATAGTATCTAGAAACTTAGCTTACAACAGTTTTCTCACATTACTGAATTATATTTCCATTTTGAATTGTTCTTAGTTCAAATAAGACCTCAAGAATGGATTGTAGTTATCACTTATCAGATTATAGAACATATACATAAGTAAGAATTGTCAATCCATTTGTAATATTCTCCAATAATTGAAATTGCTACTTTTGTTAATCATGTAATAACAAGAATAATATAATTTGAGATGATTAGATGCTTATCTAAAATAATTCTAACATTGTCCTACTCCATTCTGCTCCTGGTGCTCTGGAAGTTCTTGTTCAACTGCAGGAGTTGATAGGTACATGTAAGATGCTAATGAAGAAAGATGGCTGGTCAATTATTCTTGAGGACTTTCTGCTAAATCCTTGTGCTTATGTTATTTATTAAAAGTTTCGTTGTTAATTGGACCATCTTGAGATCAATACACATGCTTCCTAGATGGGAAATGAATAATTAGTTGTTCAAAACAGCACTACTGTTAATATACTGGAAGGCAAAAAAAGTGGCCGTCGTTATATTTGTTTATTTTATTTTTGTTGATCACTCTTTAGATGCAATTTGTATTTGACTCTGTTCATCTTTTTTAGTGGTTGTAACTTGTAATGTTAGTGAACCTACAGATAGTTGGATGTTTACTTCCCAATCTCTGATGTGATGCCAATCTGCAGATGAGGGTAGAAGGCCTCACAGCAAATAAAGCCACTCATCTTTCAGTTATGATAGAAGTAAGTTAGCTACTTTATTTTCTAATGTGTACAACCGTTGTTAGCATATAGTGTTTTGGTGATGCATTGAACGTTCTGTAATATTCATTTGATTTCTTTTTCCTGGAAATTGAATCAGATCTTTGAAATAGCTCCATCATTTTTAATGGTGGAAATTCAGAGAGCAGCAGGAGAAGCAGCAGATTATCTCAAGGTTAGTCTTAATTGCCTGCTGTCCGAGATTAACTTTTAAGTGAATAGGATAAATGCCATTCTTGTATCTTCTGTTTTGTTTCTTTAAGCATACATACTCACTATTCATTTTTTTAGTATTTGTTATTCAATGTGGCAGAAGGGATTCAAATTTCAAACTATTAAGGCTTTGTCTGATTTGGAGATTCCTTGGATATTTCCTTTGAAATATGAGGATTTCAAGCCAACACCCTCTTTTCCCACCAGTAAATAGGCAACTTAGAGATGTTAGTCAAGGATTTGGATTCTTGTGGTACCCAATGACCAACAAAACATGAAAAGGAGATTCGAATATGGAAATCCCAGGTTGGAATTTCAATAATGCAGCCAAATAAAACAATGGAGACTAGGACTGATAATAGGCTTGAGTTGGTTCAATTCGTGGAGTCAAGCCCCAATTGTGCCAGACTAGGGCCTAGCCGCATGGGCTTTTTAGCCTTAATCAAGCAAACCACAAACAAGCTGAAGATGAACTTGTTGACCTTGGCTTGGTTTGGCTAAGATCAACCCAGAGAGCTTAGAGTCTTGACAATAAATCTCAGAATTAACAAGCAAGATGAGACAACTGCCATCATATCTGCTAAAGAGTCAGGTAATTGAGATTCTAAAGATCTGCAAATTGAGGCTACAGGTGGGATTCAAAACCTCATGTGATGTTGATATGATGGTGGCATACCACAATCGTCTTGCAGTGTGATACATGGTTTATTTCAAGCGGGCATTCAGGTCTATTCAAGCATGAAATGGGCAGTCTAAACCAAGCAAAATAAACAAAGCTAAAAGCAGGTGGACAGTGGCACAAAAATATATAAGCAAGTTATGAACATGCAATTTTCCCAAATGGTAGATAGTGAAATCAAATATTTTAGACAAGATTAAAATAAGAATATTAAAAATCTTCAATGAGAACTTGAAGCTATTATACCTTGTGACTGAGAACTATAACTGGGAACTATCGAACCATTTGATCTCTGTGGTGTTCTTCAATGAATACATATTTTGTGTACTGCATCAAAGTCGAACAAACTTTCACCTGTATGGTAATTGAGATGCAGCAAGAGAAGAAAAATGTTGAAGACAATTTAGCAAGTTGAAGCAATTATGAAGCTGCAGAAACATGCATATTTTATTTCCAGAATGTATCTATGAGTTGAAAATTAAAATGAACTTACATCCCACTGTCTAGGCCTTTTCCATTTCTGCATGTGTTCTTGAAGTACGTGACCAGTTGTTCACTTCATCCGCAGTTTAATAGAAACTTCTGTAGCAAGCTGGATGATATTATCTGGAAGTCAGCTATCGAGAAGAGCAAATCGCATATCACCAGAATGCCAAAACGCTGAAATTTCATTGTTTCAGTCATTGCTATAGGTAGCTACCCTGCCACAACGTCCATTCTTTGTAGTATCAAATGGTCTGTTCATGCTTGATGCTCTTTCATATCTTGTTCAGTATTACATCGTTTTCTTGTATCTCCAACTTTTTAAACTCAATATATAGTTTTCGTTTCTTTGTGTACATTTATGGTTGCAGGTGTCACATAGTTACATTGCAGCTGCAAATATTTTCCGTATGTGATGTAAAGTTTTATTTTATTTTTTTTGTTTTTGCTCGAGAAGTGGACACACGAGGAATACTTTATTTTTAGAAACGTCCGAGCTCCTGTTGTTGGTGTCAGATTTTCCAGGCATCAGTATCTTTTGCAGAAATCAGGTAACCTCCATCCCCAATTTTTTCTTCACTTGTATGTGGCCGGAGCTCATCAGACTGGTACTTTGTGAAATAATATCATCAATTGTAACTGGTATTTTCATTAAGAGTGTCGAGATGAATGTATATTTGGATCATGGAGGTGCTTTGTGATGTAAAGTTATCGTCCGAAATATGTGATCATCCATTTGAACAGTAAAATTTTGGATGTAGTTTTATCTTTGCAAGTGATCCATGAAGGCATGAACAAAATGGACAATAGCATAGCTGTTAGGGACATGGCCAACACCTCAACACAAAGATGATTGACAGCTGGGTGTTAGGTGATTGACAACACCTCAGTACCATGTGGAGCAACCTGGTTGAATGTGGCTGATGTGATCACGATCTCTAGGCGTTAAGGCATTACCGACTTTGTCGTGCCCTCATTTCTCTGGATTCGACGTAGTACAATTCTATGAAGGTTGCCGAATATGTGAAATTGTGCCCGACATCATTGTTTGCGAATGTAATGTTCCAACAGTTGTATTATAAATGAGTGTCTTAGGTGCAGTTTTAGGGAGATTCTATTTGGCTTGTCATTCTCGGTCTTTGTTGACACCTTGATGTTCAAGCTAACTACATCAAACGTAGGCACCGTGGGGCTTTCTTTGTTCGGTGCGCCTACGATGCAACTTGCAAGATTCGACGTCTTTTTAATTTTGCTATCCTCGTGAGAAAGACACGGAATAGGATTCCAGTTGGTGGAAGTTTCCACATTGCATTCGATTTGGATAATCAGATTTTCGCTTAACAAAACCAATATATAGTAACATATTGCTTTGCTATGCTAACAATAGTATACTGACGTTTCAATTGTTGGATATTATGATTAATCAATCTAAGGGGGTATACCTTCTAGTTGCTAGATATTATGATAAATCAATATGAGTGAGAGGTTAATTATACCTTTAACGTTCTGATTTTTATATTTTAAAAAATTACATTGGTATCATTATTATAGTTATGAAACTGAAATGTTTAGATATATTTATCGTAACGATATCGGTTTTATCGATAGAAATATGAAAACAAAAGGTAAAAAGATAATTTTAACGATCTTTCATAAACTTAGCTAGATTTGCTTGAAATCATACGGTATACCCTTGCGTGTCTGTTCGTAAATGTCAATCTCCCCGAAACCTCCTATGATCCCTTAGGACATATAAAAAAGAAAATGAGTTAAAAAAAATGTTTCATTCAGGATCCACAAGTAATCATTTCAGCAAACACTTCATAACCAATGCAAATTACAAACATAGACTTCACGAGCTCTGAATGATCGTACAACAAAGGGTTGAATGATCGCACAACAAAGGGTTCAAAATGATATACTATAGACCAAAATATCCACAAGTGCCCATATAACATAATTTTCGCTTCCAAACCTAAAGCAACCACCAAAGCCAACCAAAATAGGGCTGCTAAGCCTACTGTCAGCCCTCTATATGTTAAGCAAAGCATAAACAAAATTAAAAGATACAGATATACATGAGCATTGTATCAAACACATCGTTTACAATTTTGTCTGTGACATTCTCTTCCACTTATTCCTTCGACATCCTCGTCGAAGCCTTTACAAACACTGTATCTCCTCGCTTTTGTTAAGTCTTCAATCTTCTATTACAGCTGCAATGCGCCTCTTGGCTCCCAAATGTACTTCGTCGTTATTGTTGAGTAGTCGAACTTTGATCTGTCATGCTGCTTCAACTCGCCAATGACTTTGATTTTAGTGTGGGCTTGGTTGAGTTGTGCTGATCCCTGTTAGTTCTTGCGGATCCCTCAAATGAAGGAAAAAATCATCCTTGATATACGCTAGTCTCTCAAATGCCTCATGCCGCTTGAATTGAGTGGATGCTTGTTAGAGCTTTAATGAGCATCGCCTTGTAGACTTTGAAGTTTTTGGGTCATTCCTCTGCAAAATTTGTCCATCAATTCTTCTTTCACTTAGTTGCCACTTCCAAATATGTCCGTATCACTTCTGCTTTCGATTAACATTCTGTTGGAAAATGAAGCAGATAATCTACTCTCAGTAGCACTGATCACTATTGGTGATGATTTGACAACTATTGTCTTCCATTAGGTTTCTTCGAAGGGTCTTTAAACCCGTACAGAGCTCTTCTATAAGATAAATAAGAGAATTGAGATACTCTGTTTCGCTCATTTTCTTAAGAGTTGAGAATGCAAAGGTTACTTGACTTCACCCACATTCTCGAGGGTTGTACTATATGCATCGAGCTGGTTACTAGCCTTCGTCCGCTCTTTACTCACACTTCCGAAGCACTCGAAGTGTTTATACTCCTTGCGTTGAGTTAGCTACTGTGATTCATATTCTCAATGCTATCAAACTTTTGGAATGTAAAAAGTTTTCACCCCAACTTTGAATAAGTCTCTAATAGTTTTGATTGCCTCTAGGATTGTACCGTCTTCACCATCATCTCTACTCCCTACTCCTCTAAGTAGTAACAATATAGCACCACATACTGCCTATTTCATTCGTAGTCGAGCACTCTTGCATCGACCTGAAGTCATCTACTTTTGGTTATCTTGATGAGAAGCTTATTAACACTGATCTTATGAAGTTCCTTGGCCTCTACCCTTTAGCCTTGTCTCGGTACTTGGTGTTTGCCTCTACATTCTCCACCTCCTTGGACCCTTTCACGATCAAGCACTCTCCCTCCATGAGAGTAAGGGATCGATGACTTCACGGAAGTCCCGCCTTTGTGGTACCATGGTACTACCATGCCCATGGCCTTACTATCTGTCACCTCGCATCTACTTTCCTTTCTTCATGATTGGTAGACTTGCCTCTGTGGCACTATGACACTCCTCCAAATCTACCTCCATTTTAACCAGTGCTTAGTTTTGGATAGTTAAGTCCCTCTGGGCTCGTTGTCGCTTCCTCGCCCCTTTTGACCACTTGCTTCAACACCTTTATATTCTCCAAGCAATTCTCCTTGGTTAATGGAAAGACAAACTGCAACTCCTATGCATGGCCTCCACTATATGTTACAAGGCTCGTGTTGATTTTTTTCTCCTTGGCTTCTTTGGTAGCAACGTTTGCTTACTCGACCTTGTCCTTTGAGTTGCTAAGTCCAACTCTCAAACTGCTCTGATTATACTCCTACATGATCAAGTCCCCCAATGAGACTCGTTGGTACTTGCATTCGAAAATTTTCCTCAGTGGTACACAACCCCCAATATGCTGATGACCAAAGCTTTTATCCGATGTAAAATTCGGTGCACATATGGAAGACCCGCCTTTGTAGTACCATGAAATTCACTCCTTGAATCCATAGCCCTTCTTACTGTCAAGTTATTCACCGAAGTAGAGCTCCCAATAGCTCCCGATCATACCTTTATATGATCCAATCCCTCGCGGGACTAGTTTCATGTGTATCACATTGTCACGAACTATTCCACCACGATCTGCTACACCACGTCACCTCCTGGTGATATCTCTATTGTATTCTGATCATTATGGGATAAATTTAGATTGTGATCCCTCCATGTGTGGCCTCTACCAACATATCGCAGGGCCTCTTTCACCTTCGATTGTATTCGCTTATTTGGCAATTGATATTCGTCCACCTACTCTCGGGCCACACTCAAACAAAGCACAACTCTATGATGGTCCATTGCTTAGCATCTCCCGAAGTCCACCGACTTCATTGAAATTAGTACACTATTGTTTGGATTTGGGCCTTTGCCCCCACCAACATAATCTCTATGCGTATCGCTTCCTTCATAGCAACTCGAATGGTGGCACTATGACATATTCTTCAAGAGTATATGCCTCTTTGGTTCCTTCATCAAATGCTTCTCTAGATAAGATGCATATGCCTCGAAGCTCTCTTCGTATTTGGCACCATGCAAGATGAGTTCGTTCCATTAGAATGAGCGACCCAAGGAATGACATGATACCGCTCTTGCCTCTACAAGAGTTCATGTGACCTCTGTCTAAGAAAAGTTTCGTACGTCCGCTCCATGTTCCATCTTCTATGTCGACTCCCTTCATGCAACTTGGGTACTTCTAAGTTACACCCAAATTGCTCCGCTCCTTAGTTTACATTGAGTTGATGATGACCCTTGCACCTACTATTCCATGGGTTAACCTTCCATTAAGTCTGATCTCCATATCGGCTCCAAGTATGCCTTCATTTGGTATTACCTTAGGTCGCTCCCTAACTTGATCTTACAATGCATCCATCAATGCATTACTTCATGTGAGATCATGCAATGACTCCTCATTGCTCGCCCGGTCCGTTGAGCTTCATGGAGTTGTTTTCTTGAAGTACTCCTCCTAAACATGTGTTGTTTGTTATACATGATTCTCCCTCTGGAGAATCAAGACTTATCCCTCTTGGATATTTATCCCATTGGAACAACTTTTCTCTTTGTATCCTCTTTGACTCCTCACTATCCCTTTGGACTACTCCACCTTGCTGAACAAACTGTGCATTGTTTTACCCTCGCAAACGCACTTGTTAGATTGTGACTCCTCACCAATACAACCCCGCTGCATCTCTCAAGGCCTAACAATATGCTGAACTCGCTACATACTATAGCCTTCTATAAACGTATCTTTCTCACGTCAAAGAGAAAGTTTTAATGCTCCATGGGGCCGAGTTTCAATCACCTTGAGATGGGCACAAACATTTCATTGTCCGCATATAAGCCCTTGTACGAGTGTCAAGTTCTTCGAGTTAGTAATTCTCCTCACCTCTGTGAGCTTTGCATAACTCTTTCAGTCGCTGAGCAACCCATCCCACTTTACATGATTTCATCTTTTACCAAGCGCCTCGCTTTTCTTGAGCACCGTCAAGTATGGTTGCCAACATCGACTCATAGTTCGAACTCAGCCATCCCAACCTTTGTGCGTTAGGTATTCTTCGTAGCTTGATTAAGTTCAGAATGCCTCTCGCACGAAGGGTTAGCTAATTCTCTAAATACCAATCTCAGATGCCCGCCTTTTTGAGCGACTCATTTCCATATATCTCCATGTTTGTTTTCCCCAAATGGTCGCGCATGTTGGCTGCCCTCAATGTAGCCCAGCTCGGTCCCCCATGTTTGTATGTGAAGTGTTTCTAAGTGTGCTTATCTCGTTTTGATACCAAATGTCATGAACTTAATTGGATTTGCCGAAGTCGTGTGGCACCCTTGCATGTTCATCCACAAAGATCAATCTTCCC